AAAAGTACTTTACATCGTATAAATATAAGTATTACTTCAATAACCTTCAACAAATTATTGCTTTTTTAAATTTTATTTGCTGCTATTGCCATTAGTGGCTTTACATAGCTAACAGCTATGCACATACAATAATAATTATCAAAATGTAACTAACAAAACTTTTTTTTTTTAAAAAAAAAACTTCATAAGAACTTTTTAAAAAAGGAAGCGCTAGCTTCAAAATCCAGCACCAAATTCCACTATGGAGGAAAAACAGATTTTAGCTGCTGCTGTTAAGCAGATGTGTGGTGCCCCATTGAAGAACTAAATGTTAGGAGAGATCACATGGATGTAGACATTCTTGCAAAACAAGGCCCAAATTACAGAAATCTTCCCACATCATAATAAGTGAACCGTTCCTGGAAACTACTGTATCAGTAATCAGTGTAACCAATCCAGGGATGTGACATCTTACAAAGCACTATTCACCAACGGTCCTAACTGTTACATTTTAAGGTTGGGTATTATCAGAATACTAATGGCACTTAGTACAAAATCCACGCGCAATTCTTCTCATTTCCTAAATAATAATGCCCCTCACAGAATAATTCCCAAAGGGCCAAGCAAAATTCTCCGTTATCCAAATGAATAAAAAGGCATCACTAAAAGCAGTGCCATGTCTATTTTCTGCAAGCATCTAGAGAAAATACTATAATTGACAGAATAAAAAACCATTTTTAAGAAATCCAAGGTGACAACAGGATCATTCTTCCCCTACCTCTTTCGTAGTATGGATCGTCCAGTCAAAATGGAACTGAGTATAAATCTAGATTGAACTTCTAAAGTTCCTGGAAAACAGCATTAGTTTTTTCTCCACGAGCTTGGCTAAATAGAGATTATCAGACATTTGTTTACATTCAGATTGTAGAATGTATTCTATGAACTCAAACTTGTTCAACTCAATTATTAACCAATTATTAACATTTCTTTCCACCTGGCTATTGCATGAACGCTGGATTGCATTCTATCAGCCTCTATGCATAATAAGACTAACCTAACAATATCAACTGTAGGTTCATCCATTTATCCTATTATTTGTTTGTTTGTATTCTATCTTTATTAATTTTATAAATAACTTAAGGCAGTGGTTCTCAACCTGTGGGTCGGGACCCCATTTGGGGTCGAATGACCATTTCACGGGGGTCGCCAAACAACGCAGTCCGCCATTTTCCCCCCCTTTTCCTTAGCTGTGCTACTCCCTTTTATTCTATTGGCTTTTGAAAGCCAATAGAATAGACTCTCTTGAATAGAGTCTAATTCTATTGGCTTTCAAAAGCCAATAGGAATTGTCCAGGCTGTCTCTGCCCTGCTGAGCCCGCCAAAAGTCCCATTCTGCAAACGGTGCTGCACCAGTTGAGTAGTCCTCGACTTACGACCAGTTGAGTAGTCCTCGACTTACGACCGGTTGGGGGTTGCGGCATTAAAAAGGTTGAGAACCACTGACTTAAGGCAACAAACAAACACCTTTCTTCTCCTATTTTCCTCAACAACCACCCTGTGAGGTGATTTGTGCTGAAGGAGAATGATTGGCCTAAGGTCACCTAGCTAGCTTTTATGGCTATGGTGGGATTATAACTCACGGTCTCCCGATTTCTAGCCTGGTGTCTTAATCACTAGATCAAAATTTAATTTTAAGACACCCTACTTATGTTCAGAGGAACATCAATCTAACAGAAGACATTCCATCTACTGGAGAAGTTGCTGTGAGTAGATCATGGCCTGTGTTGGAGTGCCTGCTTTTCCAGTAGTTGCAAGCACTTACTCTAAATCAGGGGTCCTCGAACTTGGCCACTTTAAGACTTGTGGACTTCAACTCCCAGAATTTCCCAGCCAGCCACAAGTCCACAAGTCTTAAAGTGGCCTAGTTTGAGGACCCCTGCTCTAAACTGAATGGAGTCAACAAGCAAAGTGGAGTCACTGCAAAGTATTAAGTTCAGCAACGTACTCACAGCTCCAATTACTGCGTGACAAGGAAATCAAAGAGATTAATTTGTCTAATGATTCATAACAGTTGTCGTGCACAAAGCCTCAGTCACTAATAAGATCGTGCAAGGCTCATCAGCCCATCAATCCCACAACTGGAGATCAAATATTGCAAACAGTGCCCAACTAGCAAGCAGATACAGGAAGCAAAAGCATGGGAACCAGAAGCAGGAACTATTTCTCAAGGGGCATAGGATTAATTTATTCATCGGGTTAGGAGGCCATCCAACTGCACAAGACTCTGGAATTAGTACCCCTAGTTAAGAATTAGCAGCAGCAAGTGAACATCACCACCTTCATATAGATTTGATCCAAGCAAACAATAAGGGGCACACTGCTAAGGTAGCAGAATTCGTATCAACGGGGCTAGAGGGAGAGGTTCTGTTTTCTTACAATCTTATGAATCTCCTGCATTGTCTGTTCCACTGGTTGAAAGCTTATATATTTAGGAAACTCTTGCAGTGTTAACCTACTGGTTCTGGTCCTGCCTGAGGAGCAAGGGACAGAGAATGTCTACTTCAGGGGTCTTCAAACTTGGTCCTTTTATGACTTGTGGACTGCAACTCCCAGAATTCCTCAGCCAGGCATGCTGGCTGAAGAATTCTGGGAGTTGAAGTCCACAAGTCATAAAAGGGCCAAGTTTGAAGACCCCTGGTCTACTTCCTCTTCTATATGAGAACTTTTCAGATATCTGGAGACTACTTTCCATAACTCAAGATTCTCTTCTGCAGGCTAAATATACCTAGAGCGGGGGTCCCCAACCCCTGGTCCGTGGACTTGCACCGGCCCGCAGCATGCCAGAAACAGGTCCGCGCAAACAAGCAAAGCCCCATTCACTGGATGCAGGCAGCACATGAAACCACGCCCCCTCTGGTCCTTGGGAAAACCTCTCTCCACAGAACCCGGTCCCCGGTGCCCAAAAGGTCGGGGGCCTCTGAACCTAGAGAGCCTAAGGTGCAGGGCTAGAAATCAGGAGCTAATCCCACTTTAGGCATGAAAGCCAGTGGGGTGACTTTGGGCAATTCGTTCTCTCTCAGTCTAACCCACCTCACAGGATTGTTGTTACAGGGAAAGTAGGAAGAGGTAGAAGAAAATCAGGATAGGATTAAAAATCTTATAAATAAAAATGCCCAGGTCATTTTACAATTTCTCTTAAGGCTGGGTTACCAATAATCTCATCACCTTGGAAGCCATCCTATGAATTCACTCACTTCTCTCCATCCTTTTTGATATTCAGAACCAGACACATTATTCCAAATGTTGTCTCACCAGGACGAAGCAAAGTTAATTTACTTGATTACTAGTTAGTTTTCTCTTTTTTCATAGCAAAGCAAACTATGAATGGCATCCAGGAATCTATTGTTTTCTTTCTTAAATTATTGTTTGTTGTTAATGTTAGAATATCTAAACATATATTTACTTGAAAATAAATCCATTGATTTTAATGAAACTTCAATTTAGGAGTGAACTATAAACCGATTTTTCAAATTAAAATATGAACAAAGTAAAGGCCAAATTTGAATACAGACTGTACAAAGACTATCTTTTGGTTCATTAAATCAATCAATCAAAAATCACAGCTCTAAGAGAACAAGTAAATGATCAAGGTTGGAAAAGAATGTAGTTATGACTGTAGTAAAAGCTACAAGTTGTATTAGAAATATACATGCAATATGTACCAATTCTCATTGAAAATGGAACCCTGAAAATTTTGGTACTTAACAATATAGTCTAATATATAAGTGCACTTATTAGATGGTATGCCTAAATAAGTCTGCACAAATTGCAGCCATAGCTGGAGATTTTAAGTGAATGCAAAGGCATTACCTTAAATTTTTAAAGAAAATCTGCTTTACTTTTATATTGGTATTAGCTTTATAGGTTACTATTTTGTCCAACAAATTATTTTCACAATTTTTAAACAATGATTTGCAAGCGGTGTGGGCAGCAAAATACTCATAAATACTGTATTCCACCACTTTAACAAAGTATTATTACAACAAAGCAACTACTTTAATAGTCCTTAGGATTTGAAGTCTTAAACTTAACGCAAGCTTCCAAGCAATCCATACCATGACGCTAGAGACCCAGGCAAACACCCCAATAAAAAAACCGTACCAACAGTTGGACGCAATACATTTCCACCGTCAAAGCGCTACACGAAACACCCTGGCCAAGTGAGAATTCTGTAAGGCTAGAATAACACGCAGCATGGGAGGGGCCCAAATTCTCTATTATGGGGTGGGGATTCCCCACCGTAAACAGGGATTTCCTCAGCACGTGTGCAGGAATTCCCTGAATCACTGAAGAGAACAAGGTAGCCATTTATAGAGGTCAATTACGTGCATGCAAAGAACATGGAACATGTCCTGGGGTTTTCCCACTTGCTAGTTCTATGACTCCACAATATTTAAACATTTTCGGTTCCGCCCTGACTTATTGAAGAACATGCCTTTTAAAATTACTTACCAGTTTCAGACCATAATTGTCTGAAACATGTCAACTTTACGGAAGATTGATTTTACTGAACATAGCAAAACGAACATTAACACAACTGTCCAACCTTCGGTGTAAGATGAGGGCAGCCTGAAAAGAAGTTCATTTTTCAGAACAGAGGCATCATTTCCAGGGCTGCCCCTAAGCATATTTACTCAGCAGTCATTCTGAATGAATTCAGCAGGGCTTACTCCATTGTAATCATCTTTACGACAGCAGCCTTTATGGAACAATAAGGAATATCAACAGCAGCTTGATTTTTAACTGGCAGTTTGTGCATTCAGTATCAGATGGGACACCATATCCCAGGGAAACAGAGAAATGTAGTGAGCTTTTTACATTTAGCTAAAAATACCAACATCTGGGAAGTCATGCCCCTTTTCTCATTCTGTCCTAAAAGCCAGAGCCGTTTCCCTATAAAAAATGTGATTAATAAAGCAAGCGACAGGGGTTTGTCTCAGGTTTGGGTTTTGTTTTTTTACCTTGGGAACTCTTCGCTTCCTTCTCTGAGGCCTTTTGTTTTCAGTTAGCACCTAAAGAAAGACATCAAATGGCAAAATCAACCCGGGTGAACAAGCCAGTCAAGTAAACAAAACCAGTTTTCCCCCTTTTCTGGGAAGACTTCACGGGCACACACCACCACGCAGGACTTCCCCCGCGGCTTAAACGGGGGGGGGGGCGAGCAAATCAGCCGCACGCACCACCACGGGGAAAAGAGGGTTAACCAAGAAAGAGGTGGGGAGGGGGAAAAAAATAAACAACCTTTCCCCCAGCTCAAAGTCGGGCTGAGGAAAGCTCGGCATTCTTCACAGCGAAAGCCACAGGGTAGCCATCTTGCTTCCTTCTGCAGAAAAGCCCTGTGCGGAGTGTGCACTTCTTCAGCGCGCTTTGGCAAAATTATGCTCATGGTGCTTCACAGCCACAAGCGGCGGCGGCGGCGGCAGCGGCGGCCGCTCGGAGAGCGCAGCAAAACCTGCCTGCCAACGCTAGGGACGTGCTAGGCATGTCTACCGATTATTATTACGCACGCACACACGCGCGCGCGCGCGCACAAACACACACACACACACACACACAAGCACACGGATAAGAAAAAGGGAGTGGGGGGGGGAAGGAGGGAGGGGGTGAGGGAAAGGACCTCCAGGAAAGGCCGAGCCAACGACAAAAGCGAGACGAGCCGTTGTCCAAAGCGCTCGCTCGGCTCCCCCAAACAAAGGGGCTCCTATGTGGGCTTTGCGCGCAGTCAGGAGGACGGCAGGGCGGGCGCAAGCTACGACATGGACTCCCCTCGCCCGCGGATCCGACCGGAGGGAAATCAAGGCGGGGATGGGGTGGGGGAGTAGTGTAGGTGGAAGCAGAACGGGACTCCGAGGCGGAAGCGAAGTGTTATTGTTGTAATTTAAAAAAAAGTGTTGCGAGGGACCAGAAGAACCCCCGTCTTTGGCTGCAGCGGGGCGCCCCGACGCGAGGCGAAAGGCGCCCGGAGAGAGGCTCCCATCGCTCCCTGGAAGCCGCCTCCCCCGGGCGCATTTTGCCTTTATAAGGCGAGGGCTGCACCGCCGTCATATTTCCGGCGCGGGTGAGGCGAGGACAGCTCCGGGGTCTAATCCTGGCCGGCCGGCAGCACGCTCTCCCACCGGGGCCGCGCCTCCAGGTTAACGAAGAGCGCGGCGCCCGGGGAGAGCAAGCGGGAGAGGCGGCCGCCACTTGAGGGCTCAACAGGTTCCCGGGCCTCGGCTGGGTTCTCAGGACACCTTTACCTGCAGCTACCTGGATACGGGTTGAATGGACGAACTCACTTTCCGGGGCTGCCTCTCCCCGAGAGGGGAGTGGAGCACACCGCCTGGGTTAACGTAACCGGCGAGGCTAAACTGCCGCGGGCTACTTTGTGACTCACTGTGTTGTCACTCGGCCAGCAGCCTCCAAAACCGATCCAAGACAGGGTCGGCGATGTAAGAGCTCCAGAGAAGAGACCTCTTTGTTATTTAGTTGCTACGTTGTGGTTTTAGAATGATATGCAGTACACTTCCATTTGCAACCATTCTCCGCCTACGACAAACTCTTGCAAAGGAATAAAAAGTGAGACTTGGAATAAAGACTTAATACCGAACATGGGATTTATTAACCAAGCCCTAAAAAAGGACGAACGGTCTCATCAGTTCAATTAACTTCCAAAGATTTTGTGGTTTAAACAAAATGTCACATTACACCAACTTTTCCCATTATGGTCCCCTTCAAATAAGGCTGCCCTTTGCAATCCACTGCAACTGAATAATCTTATCACACCCAAGGTCAGAAGATGCATTCGCATACAATCACAAATCAGCTATTTACATTTTAGCCTAATGTGTTGGGCAGTCCAGACTAATCTGGTGGTTATTTTTTGAATGTTTTGTGCAAACTAACTGAGTAAATATTTACAGTCTATTGCCTAAGTGGCACTGAAGCTTTCATAAATAAATCATTTCAAAAATACATTCTGTAAGACAACTTCCATAACTGCAGATCCAGAATTTCAAGCTCTGGTACTGTATTCTTATCAGACAAACATAAGCACGACAATCTTGGACTGTGTTTAATACAACACTGAATTAATTACAATTGGCTCTATTCATATAGCACGCTAAACTATAATCTGTGGTTTATGATACTATGATTGGGTTCATATTAACCACGGCTTTAAATCATGGCAGACTGTGCCTAGTGTGAGATCCAAGCCTTAACAGTAGTGTAAATCAAGACCACAGCAAGCCCCTCAATTATGGTTTCCATCCCTAGTTTATTGTAAATTATCCTACCTGAACAATGGCTCTACGCATTATGCAAACCTCAGTGGGAAGGTAAACATATGATTAACCTCTCTTTTGGGATTCTAAATAAAGACACTGAAAAAAGGTGTTGGCTGCAAAACAGGGTTGCACTACTGTTCTTATTTTTCAACTCTTGTAGTCTTGCAAGAGGTAAAACAGACATGCCAAGTTGGGGTGGGAGGCAATTCGGCCTTCCAGCTGCTTGTAGAGTGACACTACCTAACAACTACATGATATTTAACGGCAAATTCTCATCCTCCATCTGGTTTGCACAATCATGGCAAAGATTGCTAGTTAATGGTTGACAATGAAGGTGACTCAAGAACCATGACTAATTATGGCTGTCATTCCACTGGTCAGCACAACTAAAGACAAAACCTGCCAAGTCTAACAGGTTAGATTAAGATGCTCAATCCCAGGTTGAAAGTGCCAAAATAGATAGCTGACACATACTTCAAAATAATATTTTTGTTTGTTACAAACCGAGAATCAAATACTAATATTTATTCAAAAAGAATAAGGATGTGTAATCTCGACTACATGTTGCAAGATTATCTTATTCTGGGGAGAGTGGACTAGAACAGTGCTTTTCAACCAGTGGTACAGGTACCACCTGTGGTACATTGGCACCTGGCAGGTGGTACACAACCATCCTAGAAAAGTGGTAGCAGGGGAGGGGAATGAGCTGAACCGGTGGCAGCACCACAGAAGCCTGAGCGAGAGATGGCTGGAGCTGCAAGGCTGTCAGGGCTCAGCGGCAGTGCCAGGATCAGCGGCTGATCCTAGTGCTTCTGCTGAGCCCAGAACCACCAATCAGCTAGAATGTTGCAGCATCTCCAGGGTCTTGTGATTTACATTCAGATGCTTGGCAACTGGTTCATATTTATGATGGTCATAGTGTCCCAGGATCATGTGAAGTGACCAAAACCTGCTGCAACCACCCAGCAGACGGGGGGAGTAAAAATCGAATACCCCTCACCTCACTCCCACTGCCAATCCTCAACAGAAATGCTCACAACAATGAAAACCTCGGACAGGAGGAAGAGCGCCGCCGGGCGGGCAGGCAGTTCTTGCTCGGCTATGGCTTGGGGGGCACTTTTTTCAGTGCCATTGTAACTTCAAACAGTCACTAAGTAAACTTTGTTAAGTCGAGGACTACCTGTACTTTATCACTTTTTTCCTTTTTTTTTTTTTTTTTGGGTCATCAAGTTTTGACACCTTGATAGGCGACTGGTGGTACTCAGATGTTGCCATATCCTAAAAGTGTTACAATGGGTGAAAAGGTTGAAAAGCCCTGGACTAGAAGACATTTTAAATCTGTCGGCAGTTTGTGACATCTGGTAAATTACTTGAATATTTCTTATAAAGCAAAACGGCACTTCATAAATTATGTTCTAAACCAAAAGCATTTGCATGTTGGCAGGAAGCATGTACATAGAACATGAAGGCTGAAGTACATTTTGCTGCAAATAAATATAGGTATCTCTCTCTCTCTCACACACACACACACACACACGCACGCACGCACAGTCACATGCACACATTGGTTATTAGGCTTATTAGTCCCCCAATTACCAAAGTAACTTAACGGTTTACAATAAAAACTGTAGAACTGTAGTTAAATACTGGCATATTAAAAACCCCTTTCAAAAATGTTTTATATTTTTTTCATAAGTAAAGAGCCAAAAGAACATTCAACAGAACTGGCTACAGAGAAGGCTCCTCAAATTATTTCCATAAATGTTGTGTGTATGTGAGGACTATATTAATTAAATTTTTTGAATCAAGGTACCTCAAAAGGGCTAACTTACAGAATCCATCAAAAATCCAGGACCCGTGATTCTTGTGGAATTGAAGTTTGACAGACTTTATGAAAATAATTTTATAAAATTATCATTAAAATCTTTTATACAAAATATTATGAGACATTTCCTGTGGTCAACTGCTGATGTTTGCTATATAGTTAAAGGCAGACTATTTTCAAGGCAGATACTACTCTGAATATCTCCTTGAATTTTTAAAAACTTTTCCAGTGAAGGAAGCACACTGGATGCTTTTGCCTTTGTTGAAGACATTGAGGAATCTGGTAAGGAAATAACTCTGAAATAATGACTCGATGGGTCACAGGTTGTCTAGTCTTATCTAAATTCAATCTCAATTTACAAAAAAAGTATCCTGCAAGCACACATTCAAGAGAGCCCCAGACTTAACTAACATTAAATCTATCATCACCCAACTTCAGATCTCTTAATAGTTTCCTAATTTTATGTAAGCACTATAAGCTCCTGGGGACAGAATTGAGCCTTCAAGGATACCATTTTGAAGAACTGTCTCAAAATGATATCACTGGAAGTCTACTTTATATTTCAAAACAGCACCTCCTATTCCAAAATCTCTCTGATGATCCACAAAGAATCTATTACTGCTGGGATCCAAACGCGCTGATTCAGACTTACAACCTGAAATGTAGTAAATTGCTTGGCTGCTTTAAAATTTATGCCCCAGCCCCTCAAAAAAAAATAACAAGCTTTTTGTAAAAAAAGAAAAGAAAAGAAAAGAAAAGGCTTGATATTGCATTCATTCATTCATTCATTCATTCATTTTTTCTATGAGAAAATTGAAAATTTACACAACCCAATCTTATGCATACTTTCTTAATCATCAGGTTTTTCTTTAACAGGGTTTGTTTTCAACCACGTAAAGCAGGGGTGTCAAACTCAATT